AAAAAAAAAAAAAAAAGAAGCAAGAAAACAGAAACCAGTTGAAGCTTTTTTCGATGTTTATTCTGTTTGCTAAAATAATCAGTAACCACTTCAAAATAGTCTTTTTTTTTTCTTCTATTTTTTGCTTGATTCTATTCAACAACACTATAATTTTGACAGTTAGTGACTCGTCGATTATATTACTGTTTATATAATTATTAAAAAAAAAGTCATCCTCTCTTTTAGCACTTTTAATGCACTTTATTTATGCTGCTATAATTTAAAAACAAAACTTAAAAAGATAAGCAGTTTAGGTAGGAAATTTTCAATAAAATATTTTAGGAACTGTTAAGTTGTTCAACTGAAAGCTAAATTTTTTTACACTTTAACATTTATTTGTAGTTTATTGCAGAGGTTTTTTTTTTTGGTGCAATTTCTTTCAAAGCTATTGTTTTTGTATAAAGCGAACAAAAAATGGTGGACAAAAAACTATGTTACTTTTTTTGAATAATTTGGTAATAATGGCATTTTTAGTTTTTTGATCTAAAAAAATTTATGGTGAAAAAGAAAAGATTGTACTGCAAAATGTTGTCTCAGAGATTGTTGGCATTTTTTATATTGTTACTTCTATTTGACGGTAATAATTGAAATTTTTTTTTGTTCAAAGTCAATCAATTAACTGTATTTTTAACGTTAATAAAAACAGTGTTTGAAAACTGTGTTCAATTGATCAAAAAAGAAAATTTTTTTTTTTTATTTCTTATCCAATTCTCAGCAATAACTTTTGTGCAGAAAATAGTCTTAAAAATTAAATGATTTATTGGTAAAATCCAAAAATGAGTAATAACGATAGTGTTGTCTGCAGATCAGTTATGTTTTTTTTGAGTTGTATTCATTTTCAGGTGAATGATAAAATATGTTGTTCCTCGTTTCTATCTTTAGTTTCTTATCATTTAGTTGCTAAAAATAATCAAAAAATTTGTTGTTGGAAACAGCTATGACTGCATTTGTTTCCTTGCTTGTTTTTTTTTTTTTCTAAGATTCTTTTTTTTTTTTTGTTAACTAAGCTATAAAAGTTTTATAAATGTTTAGTTTAAATTAAAGTGAAAAAGATCAAATTACAACTTAACGTTTTAATATATCTTAGTCTACTGATTATGTGTCATACTAAGAAATTGAATGAGTTGCAAAAAAAAAAACTGTGGTCTTATCGTTGTTTTTAAAGGTAAAAACAAAAATTTTTTTCCTTATAAAAACTGTTAAAAAGAAATGATTGAAAAGTTTTGCTGATTTTCAGGCTCCATGTATCTGCCAGTTCTCTGTATTCTTGTTTTTCCAGTATTCTTTACGGTTTATGGTCAAGATGACCTTCCAAATTTAGTGGCTGTGGTAAGCTATTCTAAAATTTTAGAAACTTTTTTTGTTAGTTATGTATTGTTTTATAAATATTTATCTTTTGAAATACTGACTTATCTCAAAAAAAGGCAGTCTTTTTGCTAAGAAATAGAGCGGAATAAATCTTTAAATGATTTATCTACATCTCAAAAAATTAATTTGTTGTTAATGAATGTTCAAACAAACAATTTGGCAGATTGTCTAAATAAAACAGTTTGTATAAATCTATAAAATAATTGATGAGTGTTTATTTATTAAGTGTTCTGATTGTACAAATTGTCTGAATAAAACGAATAGATTATACAATGTAGGCCACTTTTAGACTATTTATTATGTCTAAGATAATATCTTTTACTGTTAAAGTCATTTTTTTTTTTCGCTGCAATAATTTGTCAAACTCTAATATCACTTATTTTATCTATAATTTTTAGAGTTAAACATATTAGCAAAGTAAAGAAACTTATAACTCTAAATTAGTTTTCTTTATTCAAGTAAACAGTTGTTGACTTGTGCTTTGATCAGTCATATCTGCATTTGGCACTTTTTATTTTGATGCCATTGTTTATAACTGATACAGTATTGAGTAAACAATTAGTGAAAGATATTGAAAGAATATTTGTTCTTTTATTTTATTGAAAAAAAAAAAGCTTTTTTTTGTTTGATGACGAGAACAAAAAAGAACTTTTAAGAACATTTTTTATTAAGGTGTGGACAAATGGTGAGAGAAATCCCACGTATGTTTGCAAAAATGATAAAAACGTCGAATCTACTTGGATTCAAGGATATGGAGCATTAACCAAGGTAGAATTGGCTATTAATAATTATTAGCACCGGCCAGTATAATGGTTCTGCCTTTTGAAAATAGTGAATTTACAGAAAGGAATGAGTCAACACGCTGCAATAGGTGATACCATTTATAAAAGTTATTTGCCCAAAAATGCCAAATATCATAGCAATTCGGTTAGTCGTTTTCATTCTACCAGAAGTTTTTGTCATTAAAATAAATATTTTTAAGAAAAAAAGCAGTAAACAAAAACATTTTTTTTTTTTTTTAAACTGATTGGTTCGATCTCAACCTTTTGATTTTTAAAGTTATATGTTTTGCTCTTCTCAAGTAACCCATCTTTTTCATCAGTCTATTAACGAACTTTGAAAGTACTAGTTTTTACTTCAGTACATACCTTTCGGTATCAGCACTACATTTAATCGTTGCAAACTGTGTTTTTTTAACGTTCAATAAAAATAGCATTTTGCAGATCAAATCTACCCTCTCAGTACTTTCACTTTTGCGATTAAGTGACGTAACCATATAAATAATGTTAACAATGTTGAGTTTTAGAAACTGATTCAGATCAACGTTCAATCTCTTTTCTTTTTTTACTATGATGATGATCAACAAGACAGTGTTCTTCCAGGTCTATTTCCGTTCCTCAGACGACTCAGCAGCGATTGCCAGTGCTTATGCTAACCTAATTGGCATCTATTATAGAAGATCTCATCAGTCAGGTAAAGATTACCCATCTGTGACAGGCTGGCCACAAGATTTTGTACCAGTTCCAGTACACGGAGCCGAACCAACTACTGACTATGTCAGTAACTTTATTAACTTCACTAATTATTCACTCTTTTTTATTATTTTATTAATAATAATAATAAGAGTAATAATAATAGTTTTTGTTGAAGTTTTGAAGTTTGAGGAGTGCTTAAGCAATATTTTACTAAAAACTTTTGTAAAATTAAAATTCTTTGACTTCAGGAACTTAATGGTGGCTCAAATTGTAAACTTTATCAAAGTGTTGTGGACAAAATTGTACAATCTGATGAATACGCTAATTTTACCGTAAAAAACAACGTAAATGTTTTCCATTTCTCATTTCTTTTTCTTTTTTCTGTTTAACTTTTCTCTGCCACAGTTATTTCCAAAATTTTAAGTTGTACTATGACAAAATTTAGGCGACGATAACGGACATATCAGATGTTTGCGGTGATGAAATTACGCCGTTTGATTTATGGAAATTAGAAGAAGCATCAAATGCAGAAGTTTGTTTTGGTGACACCAAATAAAGCAGACTAAAAGTGTATTTGATCTCAACTTTTATTGCAACAATTATGCTGCAAAAAATTATGTTTGAGGTTTCTGTGAGTTGGCAACACAAAACAGCAGTTTAAAGGCAATTAATGCCGTTTTGATTCTTCTTCCATACTGCTTTTTTATTTCATACTTATCAAATTGTTTCAGAACAGTATGAATCGAACAAATTTGTTTACACCTGAACAGCAGAAGATGATACATGATATGTACGTTGATTTTGAAGCTATTAAATATAAAGGTAAGTACTGTTATACCGACAATCTTTCCAAATTATTTAATTACTTTACAATCAAATTGCTTAAAAAATGCAGTTTATGAAAAAATTTTTTGCAATACTCAAAATATTAATCTAAAAATTCTTAAACTCTTTCAATTCCTTTTGAACCTTCTTTTGCATCTAAGTTCAAAAAAGGAATGCTTAGCTTATTGTTTGGACTGGAGAAAAAGTTTATATATAAGTTTCTCGACCATTTTTAAGATCAATAAAGCCAAAAAATGATTTAGCATTATTATTTTTCTGAATTAATTTTTTTTTCTTCTGTTACATGAACACTTAATTATATAATTACAAAAGGTTCGTCAATAAAAAAGAAATCATTTGTGCTTAAATATTGGTGAGAAAAAAGTACATGTTACAATTACAAAATTTTAGTTGATCAGTGGAAATTGGAGATGGCCAGTGCAAGAGGTGGTAATCTGTTATGGCATATTGTACAAAATATGATTACAAAGGTTTTAAGTTTATTCTATAGCCTAAATCTGTATCGTTCGTCTGTTGACGGACATTATAAGTTTTAACTGTGCACAGATTAAATGAGCAAAATAAATTTGAAGTAGTCAACAGGTTTCACTGACAGGCAGTTCAGTTATCACCTACTGCTTATTTACCAAAATAAATCTTTGGTTGATTATTGAAATAGAATGCCTTCAAAACATGCATCACAGGCAACTTTTTACATGAGTAATTAAAAGGTTAATAAAAAACAGTTAAATATAAGAAAAGGTCTTGGAATCATGAAGAAGAAACGTTAAAACATGCCAGAAATAGTAAAAAAAAAAGGGTAAAGTAAGAATAGCTTCAAGACAAAAAAAAAAGTAGTATAAAACAGCGTCAAGTAACGCTAATTCCTTCTGAGACTGCTGGTTACTACTGAGGTATTATTCAGGATAGTCGTTTATTAGAAGTCATTCTAGCTATGTCCTCATAGTGTTAACAGTTTAAATATTATGCTTCTTTCCTAGCAGAACTTAGCTAGATTGTGCTTGACTTAAAAAATTTTGATCGTTTTACTTATTCTATTTTCTTTATTGAAATACTCATAATTCTGAATCAGTAGTTTCAGACTTGTAATTTTTACAGAGCAACTGCACAAAAGATAACTGGCCACTTGGTCATATCTGCCACTGGATGAACCCACTAAGACTTTATGCGTATTCGACGGTTAGTCATTAAACTTCACTACAAAGTGATCGGATACGCTTTGTTACATTAATCGTAAGCTGAAGTAATTTGTTTTTTTTGACTTAAAAATATAGCAAAGAATTCAAATGCTTTATTTTTTGTCTTTACTTTTGGTGATACTGCCTTCAATTGCTGTTACATATTGGTATTTCCGTTTTCTTTTTTTTTTTTTTGTTTCTTGTTTTATCCAACACTGAACTGCTGTAAAATGTGCTGTAAAATGTCTTGAAAAAAAAAAAAAAAAAAAACAAATTATAATTTTTTTTTCATAATGATTTTTTTCATAACTTTTTTTACTGTTTTTTAGCTCTTTTTTTTGTACAGGAAAAATTTATTTAATGTTTTTTTTTTTTTGCAAATCACGTTTTTAAACACCTAATTTAAAACTGCTAAAAAGCTATACTGGTTGTAGCTGCTCTCTTTTTTAGGATATGGTTATGGCTCGATCATTGGTAGCAAATTTTGATGACAAAACAATCTATAATACAACCTTTAGCAGCAGTAATCCATTCGTTTTGGCATTTGCACTGTTTAACAACAGCGGACGTTGGGAATTTGAAGTACGTTTATAATATAATTTATAGATCTTAATTGAAAATATTTTTTGACTGCTATTGAATTTGCACTTGAAAAGATTTATTGCTTTGTTGATTGAGTTCAATGTTTATTTTATACAGATGCACTGCTTTGATAGTCCGTCAGCAAAAAGAACTTGTACTACAAATTTTCCCGGTAAGATACTGCTCTTGTTATATTTGAAAAAAAAAAAAAAAAACAGTTGATATTTGCGACTTTTTCCATTTGATAAAAGAAATTTTTGCACTAGTTTAATACTGTGAATTACCTGCTGTTCAACTCTTTGATATTGAATTTTATTTGAAAAATTCAACAAATGTTGATTCAGCTTTTTAAAAATTTTCATCTCATCTAACACTTTGTAAACATGGACTTTTTTGATTGCATTTTTCTCAGCTCTAAGCTATCATTTGCGTAAAACTTAGTATCAGCATTTTTATCAGAAAATAATATTGTCTTATTTAAGACTCAAATTATTCGTTAACAGTGATTACTTCATGTATAAAGTTGAGGTCTTTAATTTGCAGGTTGTTCGGGAAGCCGCTGCAGACTAGAAACTTTAGTTGTTTTTGCTAAAAGAATTCACAATGATTCTGTAAGACATATTTGATAGTTGTCGTACTTTTTTTCTTTGCTTACTATTTGCATTTTCATAAGCGCACTGGAAAACTGCTATTACTTTTATGTCATCTCTGAATTACACTGTATACAGTATTAATTTTTGCTTTGTTAAACCGCTGAGGTATGCTTATGCTTATAACTATCTAATTTTTCAACCATTTTTTTCTTAGCCCAAAACCGGAGCATTAAAAGCAGTTGTGTCAGTAAAATGTAGGCATTT